CCAGATCGCAGATGGCTCTGAGAATTGAAACACAGGTTGATATGTAGTTTAATGCCCAATTATTCACGAAAAGGATCAATGAGCTGTGCTCATGTAGTGCTTCATGAACAAAGTAATGCACCAAACTTGACCTTTCGTTTTGCTTTCGCTCATGCTTCTCGGCACGGTCATTGTTTCAATCAATCCATCAAATCCTTCCAAATATCCTCAACTCCGCTCGAAGTCCCACAGAGCATAACGCCTGAATATCTCGAGGCCCAGCGTACCTTCGGACCGCGAGAGGCTCCAGACACTACGTTCCCTGGGCCCCTCGACAAGGGTTGCCGGACTTGTGCTGAGGTCCGTGGACCCCGGTTGATCCGACGGGATCTTGCTCGTCTGCTGACGGCTGGCGACAGACCCCTGCCGAGCTTTGCCTCCAAACTTGACAGGCCTGAGGCCGCCCCCTTCTGTTCCTGCCTCTGTGCCTCTCTGTGTTGCCCTACACACACCGGGAGCTGACTCTTTGCGACGGGTTAAGTATAAGTAGTCCGATTTGCGAAACCTAAAGCTTGATCGTTGTGGTTCTCCCGTCTACTCTGGACGTCCCTAACAGAATCCGTGACAGCCTCCTCCTTATATTCTGAAATGGGAACAGACCTCGGCAGACCCCGTCGAGCCCGAAGTCTGCCGACCTCTGCCGACGTGGCTCGGCAGAGGCTGTGCCGACGGACCCAGGGAACGTATTGAGAGACTGTCCGATTCAACTTACCGGTACTAGGACTTAGGCGGTTGAATCCACTTGGCCGTACTTACGTGTCGAGTCTTGATTCAATCCCTATTTCTTCGTCTTCGCCCTGTCCATCTTCGAGTTGGACTTTGGTTGTGCACAAGATATTCCCGCTCCAGCTACATATCAGATAAGAATTCGGTTTCCGATCTTTACCCGCGGACCGGTCGGTGCCGAGCTAGAGGCTCAGATCATGGCTGGCAGCGATCGCCCCTTCACAGTTTAGCCGAGATTTACGGATCTGCAGAAAGTGACTCTGACCTACCATTAGCGGGAGCAACTAAGTAATCAGAGGTGGCACAAGAATCATACTCCTCCCTGATTTGCGCTTTGGCTCTCTGCGACGTCTGCTACATGATCCGTCTCGCGCTACCACATGGCTCCTTGAGGAGATCTCAGCTCATCCCGAGTATATTCGCGGGGCCAATCGAATGCGAAAAATTCCAGGCTGCTGCGTGGTTGATCGTCGAGTATTCCAGGACCAGAAAATAAGTAAGGTAGAATCAGAGACGACACGATAAAATCCAGAGATATACAATTTCTCTGTGAGGGGATCGCGCGATATCGGAATCCGGTAGAGTGATAAGACCCATCACGAGCAATACATTCCGTCAGCCTTTCAGCCTGTGATTTCGGGTTGTCGCTGGCGCGATCAAGCGGACGTTGATCTTACAGTCGGCAGAAACACCTCTCATGAGGTCGTCTGAGGCATCCTTGACACACGCCCACAGCTCAAAGTACAATTTTGAGTTTGGAATGATCAGGACCTCGCTGACTCAACAGGACCGCATATGCTCAAGACGATTCGCGAAAATTTGAATCGACAGAATTGCCTTCGCTTCCAGATTTCAGCTTCGGCCGGCTTAGGATAGATTCAAGTTGTAAAGGCAAAAGATTAGCACCGGTAACGAAAACGCGTCAGTGTTTTTCCCCTAGCCTTGTTTGGACCTTCTATATCAGCAGCGAAAGATTGGAATGCGTCTCCGTATATCTCCGTGCCGGCTAGCCAGGGCAACCCGCGGAAGAGACCTCAGGCCGGAGCCCATGCCAAATGAAGACAGATGATCTTCGGGGCTAAGCGAGGCATGTGGATCCAGGACTCAAGCGTCAAGCCTCGTCAAGCTTTCAAGGCCCAATGTTGATTAATAATTAGCGTATTGCTAGTGCTCGTCGGTCATCTCAACCAATCACCGGCACCGGAGTCCTCGGAGCTTTTGGAGAAGACTGTAATAACGCCATCTTCACTCGTTTTTCTGGTTCTCGATTCTGAAACTGCGACGAGCATCAGATGCGGGAAGAGCCTCCGTATTTAGCGCGGGGGTAAGGACTCAAGCATTTGATTACTATCCGGGCTCTGGTAATATCGATCAGTACCCCCACGAGTCGTAGAATTTACTAACCAAGATGTAATTCTACATGTGAACGAAAACCTGGACGATACTCTGTGAGGAGGGAGACCTACCAGATGGAGCGTAATCATGGAACCATCCTCAACATCAGAAATCATGGATTTGGTCTCGTAATGTTTAAATTTGGACTGAAATCACATCAGGTTCTTTGACAATACATAAGGAAAGAGCTCCAAAGATTCGCCCTAGGCTTGCGTCCGTTGTCCCTTCATGTCCGCCATTGCTGCTGCCCCAGATGTCACTCTCCTGTCCGTCTCGCTCATTCTTACCCTCGCCACTAGGACACTGATTGCGATAGCTTTGGCCCGCTGCTCATCGGCGTGATTCTGAACACACTATTATATGGGGTGCGCCTATCACAATTATCGAGCCCGCTATCAGAGCCTCACCTTTCCTAGGTCATGCTGGTCCAGGTACAACTCCAGATGCCTTGTTGTTCTTCCATCCGACAAGTGATAGGCATTCTTGTACTATAGCCGCTACAAGAAGTGCGTAGTAGCACTTAGAGCTATGGTACCTTCGATTATTGACCATTTCATCAGCGACCGTGCATGGTTCAGATATCTCGTGCGTCTCATTTGGGTCCGGCGAAACTGCGCTCACATTTGAATGCAGGTCCTCTACCTCGTCATTGCAGAGACAGCGAACTGGATCTGCGACGTGGCCGTAGTCTACGAGCCGCTTATCATCCGCTTTGGTGAGTCCTCGGCCATCTAACCGGGCAGTGCGCTCATGTTCTATGAATGCAGCCACCTTGGAAGCCCTCGTAGTCTCTCCTCTCCGTAAGTAAAGTTGGTGGCAACACATCGCCAGATCACTAACCCGTTGAATAGTCCTGAGAGCCGGTATGCTCTTTCCAGATTAATTACATCCCCGGATGCTGATAAACAATCGCATCATCAGATGCCCTCCTCACGGTAAGGCTACTCATCGGCTTTGGGCGCGGTATTCACGTAGTGGTCGATCCAGGTCCTGATATCGACACCAGTCCAACTCTTCATCGCCTGGCGTGTGCGGGTCGTCACTCGCTCGGTCATTCTTCCTATCATTATCTGCATCCTCGCAATTGTTTCCCTTGGTGCGCTCCATATTTGCCCCCAAGTCCTGAGTCTCATGGCGTGCCCAGGTGGTGGCGTTTCCGTCACGACGATGGTAACCCTGCATCCCAACTTCGCAGACTTCCCCTCGTTCAAACCCGAGGTGACAACCTGGCTTGTCGCAACCACCGCCTGCGACGTAGTCCTCACTAGCTCGCTCGTATATTCTCTCGTGCGCGCCCCACCTCATTTCAACTGACCGGCTATACTCACCCCGGCTCAAGTGGATCCGGAAGACTAACGTTATATCGACCGATAGCTATATCAACAAGATCATTCGTTGTGCGTGCATCGTTCTCACCTTCCCGTACCCGTGCGACTGCCGAGCCTAATATCGACTTTGACATAGTAACCGTGCAGACCGGGCTCATCACTGCAGCTGGTGCCCTCCTTGATCTCATCTTATTCGTAGTATTCTCAGTAAGCCCAAGCCCAATGTCTAGGCCATTCGTTCTGACGGAGCCGGATTGCAGGACACAACTCTGTGAGCTTCTCAGATGCTTCTCGAGCTTCGCAACATGCGCGGCGGATGCTCATCTATCTCCAGAAACTTCATGTTCGACTTCCCGCTCTCGAAGCTCTATACGAACTCCCTCATCAGCACGTAAGTCTTGTCTCTTCAAGATATCGGCCTTCTCTCAACTCTCGGTTTCCTCCAGATTGAACGCCCGCGCGTGGCGCGAAATTGCGACAGAACATGATGCGCCGAACGTCCTCTTCGAGCAGACGGCTTCCAACAGCCGTGGTCGGAGCTTTAGTCTAGGCACGCGCCCCTCGGTGTATATCGTGGGTCTCCCGTTCACGAGGCAAATCCCACCGTTTAGGCTCATCGCGTCCTGTAGTCGCAAGCCGTCGTTGCACAATCCTTCACGGATAACAGCAATCGCGGGAAGTACACCCTCGACTCGGACGTCCCGCTGAACAATCGCGGCGCTGTTTAGTATGCGAGGTTCACTATGACGGAAGCTTGTACGGACTTTCTTCCCTGACCCAGCGTCGAGGTGACTGCACTTCTATCTCGTGTGATACTATGTATATAATAATGTACCACGCTATTCCGTGAAGAGACAGCAGGCGCCCCTCCGGAAATTTACCTCCCTCGATACACCGATTAAAAAAATCTTTAGCAGTCCGACTCGGTCCAGACACAATCAGAGCAAGACCACCACTGCTCTGCTAATCAACATGAGCGCATCATCCCCGAAGAACGGGTGGAACACGGGAGAGTAGTTGCTGCTTGTAAAGCAGAGATCTATGGGAGATGTATTATAATAGGGCGGAATTGTACAAAGCAATCAATCTCCGTGGTGGCAAGAGTGCAGTGGCTTTTGTGAATTTTATAGAATGTCAACCGTGGGAATGAGACTTATCTTACTAGACTAGCAGAACCACTTTATTAAAGCCACGATATCCTACTCCACGGTGTTATAAGAGCCTCAGGCAACTTGGAACTCAAGAACTGTTGGCTCAATCTATGCCTGGAGGAAACACAGCTATATTATTAAAGTTCCCGCAGTTTGAAATGATAATCAGTCTCCAATCGCCGTAGCCCGAAATATGAAAGCATCTTTCGAAGAGTAGTCTCGAGTAATACTTCAATGGCGGCGGCTGCGTCATAATCATCATCTGTTGTACGAGAGGATGTTGAATTTAATTTGTAAGGTGTCGTCTGCTTCTCAGCTGCGTGATACCCCATGTGACGCATCACAATGTTCTCCTCACATCGCCTTGATGGTCTAGTAGTATGATTCCTTGTTAGGGACTTCGGTCTAATTCGAGGAGGTCCTGGGTTCAATTCCCAGTTGAGGCCTATTTTTGGATCTTCCACTTTTTTACCTTTCCTTCCCCTCTGCTCCCTTTACCGCTCTTTGAAGGATCGGCACAAGTGCTTCCATCCATGAAAACAAGCATACAAAATTAATGGCGTCCACTCGTTCAAGCGTCTCAACTGGAATTGAGAGGCTCAAAATTGGATTGCTCAGGCCCTCAAAATCCCAGGGTTTGACCCGATGTCAATGCAACACTGAGACTCATCTGGAGCTTACTGTATATCTCAATCACTGGTCCTCTTTAAATTAAAATTTCGATGTCCTTTTTAGAGCCCTTCTCCGACGCAGTCTTTCCACCGCGTCTACCGTTGTCTGCTGTGCTTAACGAGCGGATCAGTTTCGTTCCAGACGTCTGAGACAACTATTTTTTGGAACTGTGCGCCTGAGAAGCGCTTACATGATATACAGATTCCCCGCGCATTACAATCCCCTTCCCATTAATATTTGAATCGATCCCTGCATTAACATATCCCCCCAGGAACAGAACGGGAACGACACCGCCACGGGTGAGCCGCTCATGGCAGCGAGCGCCACGCATCGCCCGGCGACCTTGACCTTGACCTCGACCTTGACTTTGAGTGCTCCCTCTCCCTCCGCACCCCTGACCCCTTCCTCTCTCGCTCCCGCGCCCGCTCCCGCACATCCGGGCGGGGGGCGTGCGCGTTCGCCTGGTGGTACATCCGCCCGTACTGGTCGGGCTGCAGCTGAGCGACATCGGCGGACGCACGCGCGACGGTGCGCGCGACGCGGACCTCGAGGTGCGCGGGGAGGAGGCGCGGGTTGCCCTGTGCGCGGGCAGGAGAAGTCAGTAGGGGCAGTGGGCACGCGAGGGAGGAGGGGCAAGGTACCTTGGACGCGGGGCGGTATGCGGAAGCGGGGGGCTAGGGGCCGGCGTTACCTTAGCTTGTGCGGCGGGAGAGGGGGGGAAGAGGGCGCACCGGCACGGAGAGGGACGTGGTCAGCGTGGAAGCGGGGTCGGTGTACGGGTACGTCGTGCACGGGACGGTGAAGTCAGCGGCGGTGAGCACAGGGTCGTCCCACTGCGTGGTAGAGGCGGGCCTGCGGTGGCGGAGAGCGCGCAGGTGCTTGCGCGTGTTGAGGGAGGTGAGAAGGGAGGTGGCGTAGACTGCGTGGGTGCGTTGAGGTCCATTCGATCGGTGATGGGCACGGTGGGTGAGAGGAGGGAGGAGGTAGGAGAGGCGCGTTCAGTCAGTCAGTCAGTCAGCGAGAGGCCGGATGGCGCGCACGTTTCCCTATGACGAAGTGCAGCCCCATGAACACGAGATTCTTCGGCATCGCGAGCCACTGCCTTTCTCTCAACACGCGCCGCACGGTAGAAAGGGAGACGCACGCAGATGAGGGACGCGGTTGTCGTGACACTGGCGAGGCGGTGGTCAGTTGGAGCGGGGAGGCAGGGGGAAGGGCGGGCGCACCACGTGAGGAAACCGTTTTCGAGCGTGTAGAGCGTGAGGGTGTCGACAACGTGCGCCATCCTGCAGGCACAATTGTAACATCAGCCCTTTGTTCCCATCGCACGCGTCGCAAACGGGAGAACTTGAGGACGCACGTCGTCGACGCCGTGCGCCGGCGCATCTTCTGCAGAAAGTAGCACAGGAAGGTCGTGATGAGGATGTCGACCGACGCGGAGAGCGAGAGGCCCGTCGTGAAGATCCACTGCGGCCGTTGGGTCAGTTGTTCGTAAGTTGGGATGATTGGGACGCACGCCGGGGTAGCGTTCGTTGAAAGCGGAGAAGCGTTGTAGGCGGATCCTGGAGCGCAGGGTTCAGGGTCGGAGGCGGGGGATGGGGACGGGGAGGAGGGCACGCACATCTCGACGGTGGACACTATGGCGTGGGCGGCGTCAGCCGGCGGGGAAGAGAGAGTCAAGGTGGATATACGCACCGCTCGCAGCGACTAAAGATCGCGTAGACAGGAGTCAACGGTTGAACGTGGTTGCGTGGTTAGGGATAGACCTAAACTCACAGAGGCGTAGGAACGCGAGGAGGACCTGTGCAGGGTGAGCGGCGAAGGGGGAGGGGGAGGGAAGGGGGCGCACGATGGGGGCGACGATCCACCATATCTTGCCGCTTGCTGGCAGGGCACAGATAAGGATTAGGGACGTAGCGAGACGCGGTGCGCACATTTGTAGATCTTCGCAGCGAAGTACCTGGGATGGATGAGTGGACGGCGGTGACCTGGAGATTTCGGACGCACCAGTGGAAAATGAGCGTCTGAGCGGCCTGCGGACGTGTCAGCCGCGAAGGAGGGGGGACATGCGAAATGCGCACCGTGACCACGACGGTCAACTGTCCTCCTCGCATCAGCATCGTTCTCCACCGACAAGCGCAATGTAACGTACAGCGACGGACCTGCGGCGTCGTCAGCAAGGCGAGTCAGGCGCCGGAACAAAAACGCACCAAGGGATGTAGTCGCCACGGGATCTGTTCGCTCTGCTCAGCACGACGGCGCAGGTGAGTAGACAACACGCACCGATCCCCAAAAAAGTGGATGAAGTATCTAAAGAACGACGCGACGATGAACGCCGAGTGCAGCGCGTCAAGGAGCCTACCCCACCCTCTATCAGTCACCGGAAAAGAAATGCGCAAGGGCCCGCCCACCACACAAGTAGGACCTGCCGTCGCGTCAGGCGGTGCATAAGAGAGATGCAAGAAACGGCGAACGCACCATGCTGCGCTGAAACCACGTCTCGTTTGGATAGAGCTTGAAGAAGAGGATGCACTGGACCGCGACGACGCCGCTGAGGCTGCGCCTTGTCAGCATAGCACAGTACCGCGCACGCGAACAGACACAACGCACACCAAGCCGACGGAGCCCCCAATGAGCAGCGCCCCGAGCGTCCAGGCGATGTCCGTCATGCGTGGGGGGGAGGAAGGAACGGGGAGCGCACCGGCCGTCTTCAGGCCTCGCGCTAGCGGCTAAAGTGGTATGATGGGGGCGCTGGGTTTAGTCCTTTTTGGAACGGATCATCCCACAGACCCGCCCAAGCGATGTCGGGATCAACGTTCAATTAGTCTTGGGTGGTGATAGGAATCTCTATTCGTCTACGCACGCAATGGATGATACAGTCAAACTGCTCGAGATAAACGGCCGTCAGGACTCACTGCAGCGCGCGGTGCGGAAAGGAGGGGAGCGTCATGGTCTTCAAATTATTCGGCGACAAACGGAGCAGAAGTTCAGGATAATGGGTCGAAACATCGAAATTGGTTTCTGGAAGAACTTTCATTCATCACGTTGCGACGCCACACACTTTTGGGTGAAGCGCCCTTAGTCAGGCTTCTAGAATAAATGAGTTGATCGACAACCCGGGAAGCGGCAGAGTGCTCCAGCATTTCTCTGTCAGTAGATACACATGAGCAGATGCAGGGGCTTACTGTAAGCTGGTTCAAGCTAGTCCCGTTATAACTAGTTTCGTTGACCCAATCAAAATGGTTAACACCAGATGAAAACACCGACTCAAGACCTGATGATTCAGATCAGATTAGATCAGGTCAAACTCAAATTGTAATCTAGATCCCGACTCTGGTTGGCTGTATATAAAGAAATCAAGTCATTTCTGAAAGAATCGGGTTAGATCTAGTTCGGTCTTGAGCAGGAAATAAACTTGTGGCAAGATTTTGGTTGCTCACAACAAACTTGGCATCCGGATTAACTTCAAATCTCCCGGTATCTAGGACCCGCTGCTGAGAGGAGCGCAGTCGGATTTCCTGAATAATGGATCCGGAGGGACCGGACGTGCCAGTGGCATTGACAGTTGGAAGGGAAAGTTGATCAATGATTGCAAGGTTGAATTCCTCTCTGACGAACACCCTCAAGTACACGGAGCATCGAGCATAGTAGTGACTATAGTGAGGCCCCCGCCCAAGCGTGAAGCTACATCACGGTCCAAATGGGCTCCGCTTTGCTGGCTCCGCTGCGAAACATGAGTTGGGGCCGCAGTGATAAGATTAGATCAATCTGTCGACTGACCTGTCGGTGACAGGGAAGGTGACACCAAGGGCGCGTGTGTTTGACTTGCTTGACGGTGCGACATACGAGCCCATGGATATGGGATCCACGTTGTGACTCCCGAATTGAGCGAGTGCCTGGGCGTGTTTCCGTGTATTCAGCCTGTATCTGATGGTCAGACTGCGCATGTTGGCAGATAGGGACGTACATCGCAAGCATGCTGTTCATGTAGACTAAAAGTATTCCAGCGCAGCTCAAGAACAGCGGGCAGGAGATCGATCGCTTACGCTTGCCACTCAGCACAAGGACGAGCATGAAGTAGAACGTCCCGGGTTGAGTCAGGAACTGGGAGTGTGTCAGGTGCACATAATGGGCATAAACTTATAGGAAACCCACAAGGATAATGTTCAAGGCAGCGGTGACCATGGTAAGTAGGCCCCGGTTTAGTCCGGTCATGATAAAGAAGTTGAGCATTTTGTTGGTTCTGAAAGAAGAGTAAGGGGACTCGGAGTTAGTTCAAGGTCATCGAGACGGACGATTGGACTCCGGTTCTGCAGTTGCTCAGGCGCCAGCATAGGCCAACAGTGATCAGAATATCGCACGCGAGCGCGAAGGCCGCCTGGGTGTTAGTGGCCGCCTATTGACGCATCGAATATTACATCTCGCTGCAGGCCAAGCAGACGAACCGAGGTTGAAGGCAGCTCGGAGAATCGTTTGACTTTGATGCTGTTGGGAAAGTGCTCAGTTTGCAAGATGCTGCTGTAGCGGCGCTGCTGCACTCACCTCAGAACGGTCTGAGCTGCTCGCGCTGAGACAAGTATGCGTGTCTAAATATAATCCTCGTACCAATTCCCGCACCCAGTCCGGCCACTGAGAGAATGAAAATAGCGGTGGGGAACAAGAACCTATCTGTTCGCACTATCGAGAATCAAACGGAAACATTGTACTGTCGAATCCACCCACATTTGTAGATGAGATATGAGAAATATCTGCAGGTCGTCAGATGTGTCAGGAC